ATATATATATATATATATATATATATGCAATTTTTCCCTTAAAAAAATGGTTTCGAAAATTTCTTTGCAGAAATATTCTCCTTTTTACGATAATGGGTTTTAAATTTTTCTTTGTGCAGTATGTCAAATGTTCACTGCCTTATTTGGTGGAATTTTTTTGTTTCAACTAGTCCTTTTTTCCAGCTTGATATACAGTTACCGTGAGATTTACCGTTGTTGCAGCACATTGATAATAACATGAATATATTTTCAAATTTCCTGCCAGAAATTGAAGCTTTCCGCTTTTCCTTTCTGTTTTTGGGGGAAGAGTAGTTTGTTCTCTAGGAAAATCATTGGAGTTTCTGAAAGCGAATGCATATCTTTGATGCATGACCACTGCTAATGAGCTTCCTTACTACACCAATATAACAAAATCATTCTATGTAGAAAATGTCCATGTCGTATTGTTTTTCTATCATATGCTGATGTTCAGTTGTCAATATTTCAGCATGGGTTTACGGCCTACAAAGGGAGTACTTCTTCATGGCCCACCTGGAACTGGAAAGACTGCTTTAGCGCGATTATGTGCTCATGAAGCTGGTGTAAACCTATTCTCTGTCAATGGGCCTGAAGTAATTAGTCAATATTATGGCGAAAGTGAACGGGCACTGAACGAGGTCTTTGATTCAGCGAGTCAAGCAGCTCCTGCCGTGGTTTGCTTTCTCAGTTCTTACAGTTCAGATATCTTCTGTTTAAATAGTAAATTTGCTTGAGTTCAATTGTCACAATAACTGAAATTGAAGTCTCACTGCTTAAAGTGTCTTAATGTGCAATGCCAACAAAATGGAAAATAGAACTTCGGTAGTAGGAAGTCACAACGAGATATCGATTCTTGTGATCTCAAGGAAAGAATCTTTTTGAAATGTAATTCTTAAAAAAAAACAATCTTTTTGAAATGTATGAATTATAGACGAGAAACTATCAGAAGTCCATTTAAAAGTTTTGGTGGTTCCTTTAATCTTTACCTTATCAAAAAGTTTTGGTGGTTCCTTTTATTACTTCGCATCGGTTTTGAAGGTACTACGTTTTAGTCCTGAGCCATGAATCTTATATCTAGTTTAGATCTTCCTGTTAGAAATGCATTGCACCTGGGTAGTTCATGAAGCTGTAACTCTTGATTATATCTCATTCATAAATTATGATAGGCTATATTTGGAATCGTCAGTGCTACAGCGGAATCTCTAAGCTAACATTTGAGCTCTGCAAGCTAGTATTGTGGTTTGCTCCCTTCAACTGAATGAACTTTTTTTTTTCTGATAGAAACAACTCGTGGATTTCCTAAAGCAATATTCTTTTTGAATAGGTAAAAGCAAATTGGTAATAGATGGAAGCAGTGTTATAAGAAAAGATTTTAAACGGAATTAAAAGATGGAAGCACTGTCCCATCATTGTCAAGTTATGTTGCATGGACTTCTCATTATCCTTCAAGATACACAATATGTAGAGATTGTTGATTGTCTTTGAGAAGGTAACATAGAGATTATTGAATGTTGCTGTGTCAGATTCGTGCTAGCCATTAAGTTATTCTTGGACACTTGCTCTATGATGTCTGATTACTTCGGGTATTGGACTCTAGTACAGAAGATAGGAGTTGCTCTATTGCCTCAGATAGTAAACTGTGCAGATGGAAAAATGGATAACTATGTCTGAGATTAGCATAGCCTAGTATGTCTAAACTATGGGATTGACACTGAATTTAGTTAACTAACCTTATTTTTTTCTTTGGCCGTATAAAAGTCAATTTGATTTCTGTATCTTTGCTGTAATACAAATCTTGTCAATTGATTAACTTTTCCATAACCCAGAGCCATTTTCATTTACAGGTCTTCATTGATGAGTTGGATGCCATTGCGCCTGCTCGTAAAGATGCAGGTGAAGAGCTTTCCCAAAGAATGGTAGCTACATTGTTAAACTTGATGGATGGAATAAGAAGAGCTGATGGAGTACTTGTTATTGCTGCAACCAATCGACCTGACAGTGTGGAACCAGCTCTTAGACGACCTGGAAGACTTGACAGGGAAATTGAAATAGGTCACTGCAAAATCTCCTTATAAATTATTGTTTTGGGACCTAATCATTTGCAGAAATGGACTAGACATTAAATTATGAAAACCTAAGTCTAGATTCTAGAAGTGCTTATACCAAAGTCGCCATATAGGTTTTACATGACTATTTGTTGGTTCTTCCTGTCTTTCTTCTCCTTGACAAATATTACCAAGTCTTTGGGTGGGGATGATTCCAGGAGCTGAGCTTGATGTATGTTTGCAGGTACCTCCATTAAATGATCCTATTTGAGGAGATTAAGCATAAAGTCCAAATTGTGCATGTAGCTAGGTCGAGATGTTGAAAATAATAGTTTAAACAGTTAAAAGCAAGTGAGATCTCATATCACGGAGAAAGTGATCCAGTGTAATTCCATGTTGATTTGAGTTTCCAGAAGTGGAAACTTTGTTACTGAAGGAAATGGGGTCAATAAAATTGTACTGGGCCTAAAAAAGAAGCTAAGTCTATTAGACTCGGAGAGAAGAAAGATTTTGCTGATTGTGTCTTCTTCTAGTGTAGTCTAGGCTTCTTGCCTCTTATATTTTTTGCTCTTCGGTATCTACTGGAAATTGTTGGACGCTCATAGAATTATTTAATCTTCTTTCTCAAGTTCCTAAGAAAGGAGGTTCACTTCCGCCCCACCCCATCCCCACTAGAGAAACAATAAAAGAAAAAGAACAAGAGACAGAGACAAGGAAACTCTTGTGAATGCTCATGATATGTTAGGATGGATGTATTTTTTTTTTCCTATTGTGGTACATTACATGTCAATTCTTCTTCTCCTATTGTAGTATCTCGTCTCTGAACAGGATCTGACTTTTGCTGTATCAATTTGTCGTTTTGCTTCTTTTCGTACTGATAGTGAGACATTCTTTCTAATGGAATGCCTTCCCTCCCCTTGTTCAACTTATTTGTTGGTTTCTATTTTGATTTTCAACATTGTGATGGTAATTGAACGCAATTAAGGAGTTCCTAAATGTAATATTGAATGAGGTCAAGACATTTTGATGCTAAGATTCTGTCACTTCATCCACCAGTCATTACTGCTGTTACTCTTCATATTCTTGCTGCGAGTCGGCTGAGCATAGTCAGTATTTTTTGCGTTAGCTATTATGTTTTTGATGTGATATATGACCCTTTCTCATTTCATGGAAAAATATGTTTAGGCGTGCCATCTGCCAGACAACGGTATGAAATACTACATACACTGATGAGTGAAATGGAACATGCTCTTCTGGAAAAGGATGTTCAAGACCTTGCAACAGCTACACATGGTTTTGTGGGCGCTGATCTAGCTGCTCTGTGCAACGAAGCAGCTTTGAATTGTCTTCGTGAACATGTTGAGTCAAAGACATGCTTTGGCAATACTCATAGTAAACCTTCAATTCGAGCATTTGATGGACGCCTTGGCAGGAATGGTACCCATTACTTGCGAGATAATAAAGACCTCTCTTCTGACAGTGATTTCGAGGGTGCATCTTCATCTATTTCAGAAGCATGTATCTCATCAGATATTCCAAGAAACTTTACTTGCATGGAACAAACAGACACTCTTAGGATCACTTATAAGGATTTTGAAAAGGCTAGAATGAAAATAAGGCCAAGTGCCATGAGAGAGGTATGTTTTACGTGTTTAGAGTTTTTTTGGTTGTTAAACATAGTTATTAAATTTGGTGATGCTTTCTATGTTGATGTGCTTTTCATATTCAGATATTTGTATGATTACAAGTTTCAGAAAACAGGCTATTTTTCTAATGGTTTTAGGCCAGCGAGCTAGCAGTTCTGGGATTGAACCCAGTCAAATTGCATTCATGAGTTGGTTTATGTAAAGGGTCAACTTTTAACTTGTCTTTGGTTAATTTAGTGCGGTAGGGGTATGATGCAAGTTTAGTCATGGATTCTTACATCCTGTAATTAAGTTTATCTGTATATACTTTGCAATTGATCATCTTTTCCTGCTTTTCCACTTGAAGTTCATGCTGCCTGTTATTTCAACAGATTTGCTTAAGGACCATTTGTAGACATCTGGAATTGCAGTCTGCCCTGTACTGACTTGGTTCCTCTTAATATCAGGTTATACTTGAGGTTCCAAAGGTAAGCTGGAATGATGTTGGAGGACAGAGGGAGGTGAAGATGCAGCTCATAGAAGCTGTTGAATGGCCTCAGAAACACCAGGAGGCTTTCAAGCGCATTGGCACTCGTCCCCCTACTGGAGTTTTGATGTTCGGTCCTCCAGGATGCAGCAAAACATTGTTAGCTCGTGCAGTTGCTTCCGAAGCAGGGTTGAACTTTCTTGCAGTGAAGGGCCCTGAGCTTTACAGTAAATGGGTGGGGGAATCAGAAAAAGCTGTCAGAACTTTATTTGCAAAGGCTAGGGCAAATGCTCCCTCAATTATATTTTTTGATGAAATAGATGGCCTTGCTGTTGTACGTGGCAAAGAAAGTGATGGGGTTTCTGTGGCAGATCGGGTCATGAGTCAACTTCTTATTGAATTAGATGGTGAGTGTTCCACATTTAAAGGACTTCTCAGCTGTCAACACTTGAACTATATTGAAGAACATTAGTGGGTGATCTTGTTTGTTTAGGTCAGCAAGTTTAGTTGGTGGCCATTTGACTAAGCAGAATTTGAAATGAAACCAGATTACCATTCTATCAAAGTTCCCACTTCAAAATTTAAAGGGATAGTAACTACCTTTTTCATGGGGTGGGGAAAGAACTTCTAAGATTAATGAATCAAGATCAACGTCATATACTAGGCACTCTATGTTTTTCATTGGGTTAGGAAAGAATTTCTAAGTAATGAATCAAGATCAATGCCATATACTAGACACTGCCTCCCCTCTTTGTGCCTTTTCCTTATGCTGCGCAAGTTCCGATGTTAAAAAAAACCAGGTACTTTTGGGTTGGGTATGAATGACCTGTTTAGGGTGGTGAGCTTCAGGAGGGTTGAAGCTGAGGTTACAGTGCCAAGACACAGAAATGTTACATGAACTTTTCAAGCATCACATAGGAGTATGTATTCGGGATGCATAAGTTCAGGTTTTAGAAGGCTTTTCAGTGATTTTTGAAGGGTCTGCATGAAGTAACTATGCCATGTCAATCACTTTTAACATGGTAGAGTGTATAATATAGTTTTTCTTCTTTTTTATCAGTGAGTCAATGCCATTATTTGTTCACGTCGGAAGCAGGTGCCTAAGGATGTCTTTTAATAGCCGGAGGAGTAATATAGTGCTGAGGGCTACAAGAGTGATTTGGTCCTAGAGACGTATTTTCTTGAATATCTTGTTGTGTAAAATCATTCCTAAGCATGTATAACATGAGATTCTTATCTCCACATTAAACCTGAGGCACTAACGGGTAGCTGGGGGAAGAGAAAGGCACTGACATTCCATTATATGATTTTCTTTTTCTTGACTAAAAATTTAAGTCCTTTAATACAAATGCCAACGCTGCTCGTAATCTATGGTTTAGTTTAATTGGTAGAAATAGGATTCTAACGGGGCAAAGCAGATCAAAATTGTCTCAGTTTTTTATGTATGAGGAACTCTTGATTGTCAAAGTTTCTAATCGTTTTAAGCTGGAATTTTACATTTCTTTTGTTAAAGGTTTGCACCAGAGAGTTAATGTCACTGTTATTGCTGCAACAAATCGGCCAGACAAGATTGACCCTGCTCTTCTAAGACCAGGTGAAATCCTCTGTTCTGCTACTACCTTTCATCTTGAATTCTGCTACTACTACCAATACCTTGTGTGCTGCTTGTGCTGCAATTTTTGTTAGGACGCTTTGATCGATTGCTGTATGTCGGACCTCCAGATAAAAAAGACAGGGAGGCAATATTCCACATACATTTGCAGAAGATGCCATGCAGTTCTGACATATGCATTAAAGACCTAGCTCGGCTAACGAGCGGCTGTACTGGTGCTGACATATCTCTGATATGTCGTGAAGCAGCTATTGCAGCAATTGAAGTAAATTTACTCTTTTGTGGCTACTGTCTATACATCTTCCTTCCGCCCCCTCTTTCTGTTTATGCATATTTTCCTCTGTACTAACTTTTTTGGTATCAGGAAAGCCTTGATGCCTCTGAAATAACAATGAAACATCTGAAGGCCGCCATTAGACAAGTGCCTCCATCTGAAGTTCATTCATACCAAGAATTATCAAATAGGTTTCAGAGGCTTGTGCACTCAAACTCTGTGAAAGACGATTAGTGTCACCAATGATTGCTAATACAGATCACGTCGAATTCCATGCTGGTATATTCTNTATACAGATCTAGTCGAATTCCATGCTGGTATATTCTCGTCCATTGTCCTCCTTTTCCTTGGTTTAGTAATTTGTATCCACCACTATTGTCTTCCTTAAATGACACTGGTTGAGTAATAATGGCTTGTGCTTGCATGGCATTATATTGAATTTGCCTTTGTATTACCTACTTAGCTTACACCTATTATTTTATAACTTTTTTACACAATTGTGGAAGTATGTATCAAGCTGCAGTTGGATATAAGTTTAGTTCCTTATCAACTGTGTTCAGAATAAAGCCATTTAAAATAACTGTTGGGGAAACTGAAGTTAGAATAAATGCCTTCTGGTGCAGAGGAAGCTAAATTTATCTATATAGTACTCCCTCCGGTCCACAATAAGTGACTTTTTGGCTTTTTTAATTTGGTTCAAATCAAGAATGAATTAACTTTAATTTTTCAAATTTGCCCTTATTTACACATCCCAATGTGTCAAGTTAACAATATACAAATTTTAATTAAGGGTAATATATAGTCGAGACACTTATTTTTTTTCTAGGAGTTAGTATTTTCTTAAGGGATGTGCCAAAGACCAAAAAGTCACTTGTTGTGGACCGGAGGGAGTAGTATATCATATGCTTTCTTACGGGGGATTCTACAGGGGGATGCAAATTTCCCCTCTGATGCACCTATTTTATCCATTTAGTTTTTAATATATTCAATCCCCTTTAACCCAAAAAAAAAAAGTTCTTAAGAACCTTTAGTAGCTTTTTACTTCTTGGTAGAGGATTTGATATAAAGGCTGCTAGTTCAAGGAGGGGTTTCAAACTTGGATGTATTTTAACTTAGTTCTCTGACATCCAATGGGAAGATCGAGGGGGAGGGGGACTAAGCATGGGAAAACTGTAAACTAAATCAGTTATGTTTTTCATTATAATTTAAGAAAGTAGTCTAATATGATAAAAGGAAAAACACACCCTATTAGATCAGGAATAGAATGTATCCATTATCTACATTCTGTTCCATGTACTTCTCAAACCTGCAAACGAAGTGCTTTTTGACCAAAAGATGCTTCAAATTTAGAATGTTGAAAACTATCTGATTCAACCATAAATCAGTGAGGCAAAATCCTAAGGATAGAAAAGACCTGATTAAGTACTAACACTTCTGATTGTGGATGCGAAATCTTCAATAAATATGTTAATTATATTTCTGTCATCTAAGTATTGGATTGTGACTGATTGATTCCCAAAAGCTGATTTGTTAAAAGGTGCTTCAACCAGCAGAAGTTTTCGTCACCAGAAGAGTATTGGATTGTGACGAAATCTTCTTTTTGTTTGCAGCATGGTCCTCCTGGAATGCAGACACTTGATGTCACAATGCGATATTTCTAATCTTAAATTCGGGATACGTGGATATTGATTAAAATATATCATCAAGCAATGCATGTTAAGATGTTTAAGTATGTTGTATATGTATTTTAGTTCAGTAACGTTCTTATTGCACAAAATCACTACATATTATAGGAAGCACTGGTAGAAGCAGAAGAGCTTTATCTTTCTCTTTATTTTCAAATTATTTGTCAAGTCAATAAGGTGCATTGAGCTTGCTAATTTGCTCCTGACTGCTTTCTCGAGGATGTCTCCTTGTATGAGTTCCTAGAAATCTTCCTTATTCCAACTTGTTTAGCAAATTCATATATCTTCATGAAAGTAAGCATGGACATTAAGTTTCTCCCTTGAAGTTGCTTCCTCTTTCCATCTCAAAAAAAAAAAGTGCGACCTTTAACCAGTTGTGGTATTTTTTTTTATTACAGCCATCTGGATTATGATTGGAGTTTTTGCACAGATGGATGCTGTTGCCATTGTTCACATATGCTGCCCTTCACGAATCTGCATCCCATGTTAGCTCCAGCAATATACAGCAGGAAGAACTTGACGTATTTGGAATTGATCTCCAAAAGCTGTTGATTTAGATGCATCAAGGGAAAGTCCGTTCTGTATAGTGAAGGTCATGTACTTCTGGTTGCAGAAGCCATCAATAGCAAAGCCAGAATGAGTTCTATTGGTCACTACAGCGAGGGCAATGTTTCAGGAATTGATATTTCAGTCTGATCCTTCAACAGATCGTTTGCAATCAAGGCTTCCATACTCATGAAATGTTTGATTTGATGCTCCACTATCGGTATACTTCTGGGGTTTGACAAGAAAACCAGAAGTCTGCAGCATATACAATGCAGTTTCATTTGTTCATGGTATCTTTTGTATTATGCATAAACATTTTTGTTAGCTATATACAACCAAAGTGGGTTACATTAATATTCTGATTGAACAGGTCTTTCACATCCTTTATGTGTAAGGCCAAATCACAGATTAGCTAATATTGATTGGTGATGTTTTCACTAGTGGATTGTCCAATTTGGAAGCAGGTATCTTAAAAGATGTTGCTAGTGACCATTTCGCATTTCACATAGCCACATAATCCTGGTTACTCTCTCTATTTCAATTTAGATGACATGCTTTCCTTATTAGTCCGTTCCAAAAAGAATGATACATTTCTACAATTGAAAAATAATTTACTCTCCTTCGTTCATTTTTACTCGTCCAATATTCTAAAAATAGATTTTCACTTTTACTTGTCACTTTTAGCATATCAATAAAAGACAATTTCCTTTTTCCTGTTATGCCCACAACATTAATTACTCCTTTCAAATCATTTTCTCAAAATCATTAAAAATATGCATCAATTACATAGTTAATTTTTTTTGAACTCCGTGTCAAGTCAAACTACCTCATCTTACATAGGCAAAATACATAAGTACCCACCTAACCTATGGTCCAAATCCCCCTTACACACTTTCTGTGGACGATAATAATATTACACATGCAACCTTTCTAAAGTGTAGTTAGTACACACCATTTTTTTCTTGACCAGCATTTCAAAATATGTGTGAGGTCACGTGCCAATAAGGTCGTGACACGTGTCCTAACTCAAGAAAAAAAAGAAAATACTAAATTTACACCAATTGATAATATTTAAAAGAAACAAAGCCCCCCACCACGTTTCTCATCTTCTTCTGAACCCCAAACTCGTCGACCTCCTCCTCTAAACTCCATCAGCCATGGAAAATCCCCACCAGAACAAAATATTAACATGAATTTTCACCATTTTTTAGTCTATAAAATTTTCATTTTTTTTAGTTTCTAGGTTTTGTTTGCTGTGGAATCACCATTGTCACCGATGGGTTTGCCACTGTAACAGTGGTCGAAAATGGAGGTCGTTGTTGTTTGCCTTTTTTTAACCAAACGAGACCAGATTTGAACGAAGAACACCAGCTTGCCGAAAGATCTGATAGCTCCACCCACGCGGAGAAGATCTGAGCTCATCGATCATGAACTGACAGTGAAACTAATGACCTGGCAATGGAGTTCTCGGCTTGTTGCTTGAGGTCGTTGCCGGTATTACGAGTTATGGCTGACATCTTCTTAGAGGAGATGCTAGAGGGAGGAGATGAGGAGGCTGCGGTTGTCGCCGGCTTCCGGGGAGGGCTCCAAATGGGGAAGAAGAGCTTGGATATCATTTTCTTTTCATTTAATTATTAAATTAACAAAAATAAGTGGACAAATAAGATTTAGACACGTGTGCTTATATAAGGACTTGGACAGATAATGCATTGGTTTGACGCGCTCATTTTTTTTGTTAAACACGCGCGTGCCATCTGGCAAAAATAGTGTGTATTAGGCACAATTTTAAAAGGTTGCGTGTGTAATATTATTATCGTCCACAGAAAATATATAAAAGGGGTTTGAGCGATAAGTTAGGTGGGTACTTATGTATTTTGCCTCTTCCATACTCCATTTGTAATAAAGTAAGTATATTACATATATTTTAAATGGGGTCAGCTTTCCACTTTCCTTCTCTTTCATTCGACTTCATCTTGTTCTCTCTCTCCTCCTTTCTTTTCTAATCATAATATATTTTTGGGAAAGTGTTTCCCTCTTTCCACTTCATAACTTTTATATCCTCTATCCAATCATAATTCCTGTACAACCTCATCTATGTTTCTGTAACAATGTACAAACAGTATTTTTAAAAAGAGAATCTCTGTGACCTTTGACTTGAGCTGTAAAAGCACCTTTCATGGCCATCTGATCAGTTCAGTGGTTTGGGTCATGATATATAAGCATAATAAAGTTGATGTCGGATTAAATGATAACTTAAGAAAACACTGAAAATTAACTAGCACATTATTATCTTAAGCATTTTCAAACTCTGAAACAAGTGTTACCTTAATGTTTTAAAGATTAATTATAGTCAGATGACTTTATACTAATAATTGAGCTATCATAATTTTTTTCTTTCATTGAAACTTATAACCGACAAAGCCAGATCAATCCTTTGTAAAATCATATTAAAATCTCATGTACTCTCCCTCTCTAGAGACTCTTTTGCTAATTAGCAAGCAACACACAAGGAACCTTAAATCCCGCAAAAGTGACATCACATTAGTTAAAAATTTGCTCACAGATCCTGTTTCTACCAAACCATTAAACTTATCAGTGTAAATTGAGATGAAAATACATATACTGTAGTGAAGTGTTAAGTGTATATAATATACTCTCCGTACCAATTTATCTGGGGGAATTTAATTCAGCACAATTGTTTGCAATAAATTATTTGCGATATACAAATAAACCACAATATAAATATGAATAAACATAATTTTATTGATAAAATAATACAGGTATACTTGTGTTTGTTCCATTGATTTTTTTCTCTAGATTGTTCTCCGTGATTCGAGGGCTTTACCAACGTATTTCTCGAACATAGGATGATGCGAACTTCCTTAGGATGTATTTGATATCCAGGAAAAGGAATAACATTCTTCAGATAGAATAACCTCCAAGAAACCTCGATAGACTTTACTGATAGTATCTTAAATTTAAGATTTTGCTTAAATTTCATATGGATTTGGTTCGATAAAATTTTGATGTCTACATCAATGTTTAAAAAAGCGAATCAGTAAGAAAGTAGTATATCACATAATATAATACCCCATTTGTTTCAATTTATGCGAACCTATTTGATTGATCACATAGTTTAAGAAAGAAATAAATATATTTAAAACTTGTGATTCTGAACAAGTCATAACATTTGTGTGACTGTAGTTCTTTTGAAACTTGTGGTGTTAAACATGATAGAGTATTTGTGTGGCTACAAAAACCTTTTAATTGAGAGAATAATTGGAATTTTAAGTTTAATTATTTTTAAATTTAGTAGGCAATTTGGACATAACAATTATATGATTTTTGAAAAATAGTAGTATTTGGAGTTAAGTTAAAAAAATGGTATTTGAAATTTGATATTATGTTTGGACATGCATTTAAGTTGAAAAAATATTGCAGTTTTATGAGTGAGGAAATTTTTTAAAAACCTGTAAAATTTTATGGACAAAAACGTTTTTTTTATAAAAAAGGAAAAGAAAAAATATCTACGGACCAATTGGTCCTTAGAAATGAATCATTTTTTTTTTTGGAGGGAACAAAAATAAATAGGTTCGGAACATAAAAATTAGTATTATTTTTTCCATTGCATACCCCCTACTAACCATCCTATAACCCTACACCTACCCCACCTTGCTTCTCATCCACATGGCCCCTAGATTTCCACAAAATATCATAACAAAAGCATCTTGTAACAGTAACATTAATGCTTAAAAAGCTGAAAAGAAACAAGATCCACTTCGAACCCCTCTCCACAATCCACCCTCACTCTCCCTCAATCCTCTCCGCTATCCACATTTGCAAATTTCCAAAGTAAACCTTCATTTTCTCCCTCACCCAGAAATCAAGATTCTTCATTATAGAGGAGGAGGGTGAGAAAAAAACAAACCCACATCTCATAAAAATCTCATCTTTCAATGTTTACACTTGCCTTTTCCCACCCCATATCTTCACATAGACTCTTTTGTCTGATTCTAGCCTGATTTTAGATTCTTTTGTCAATCTTTAAGTTCCCATAAAGGTGAGATATTTTTTTGTTTTTTTCTTGATGACAGTAATATTAGAGCTAATTCATATACTCCAAGCTATCCACCAAGTTAGAGCAATCATAAAGTTGAGATCTTGACCCAAATAATTGGTTGAAAATCCAAAATTTTAGCTTTCAAAATTGTTAAGGAAAATGAGGGAAGAGGATTCAAATTGGTTTGCCAAATGGGAAGAAGAATTGCCAAAACCAGAAGAGTTAATGCCTTTATCCCAAACCCTTATATCTCCTGATCTTGCTATAGCTTTTGATATTGCAAACCCCACTAGCCCAAATAATCCTCAAAACAAACAGCAGCAGCAGACTCAGATTCCTCAATCCTCTCAACAGCAGCCCAATTCATCAGCTGAATTTGAGTCTGCTGAATTGAATGGATTAGGAGGTGGTGGAGATGAACCAGCTAGGACAATAAAAAGGCCTAGGCTTGTGTGGACCCCACAGCTACACAAGAGGTTTGTGGATGCAGTTGCTCATTTGGGGATCAAGAATGCTGTCCCAAAGACTATAATGCAACTGATGAGTGTCGATGGCCTAACCCGCGAAAATGTTGCTAGTCATTTGCAAAAATACAGGCTTTATTTGAAAAGAATGCAAGGTCTTTCTAATGGTGGTAGTGGTGGAAACAGTGGTCAATCTTTATCAGGGGCAGGTGTTGATTCTGCAATGGACAATTTGTTTGCTAGTTCACCAGTGCCAGCACATTTTTTGCATCCGGCCGGGAGGGGTAATCCTGACCAGTTCTTGCCATTTGTGCCAGTGACATCTATGCAGCATCATAATCATCATATGGGAGTGGTTGTTGGACACCATCATCCTCAAGTTCAACAGCAGTATAGGCAATTTGGGTCACCGGCTAATGGACATTTTGATCATCATCCATTTTTGTCTAGGCAATCACAGCAGCAGGTTCAGAGGATGGGGACATCAGTGCATAATGGTAGTCCTGTGGTGTCACCTTATGTTGATGATGTGGATTCTTCAGCCGCACCCGTCAATGGGAGAAAGGTCCTTACTTTGTTCCCAACAGGGGATGATTGATATCAGGGTAACTGTTGATTTTAGCCTTCTGCAAATCCTGTCAATTTGACTTCCATGTAATCTAGAATTTGTGTTGAATAACATTTGGTCCTTGTTTTAGTACCTTTTATTGGACTAGTGGTATTTTATTGTAAATGTCTATATGGAGTTGTTGTTATGGTCTTCAACTCTTCATGGAACTGTGAATCCCCTTTTCCCACTTCATTATTCTCTTAAGGTCAAACTCTGTTACTTTTCGGAGAATTAGGATTTGGTGCTTAGTATCTGTTATGAAACTGTTCAGTTAGATGAGCTTTACTATTGTAATTATGTTGTGCATAGCACTGTGTTTTCTATTGTTAGCTTCATTTAGCATTCTTTCTATCCTGCTATCAGCAACTAGTTATTGATGTTGAACGTAATAGTCACTTTGGGCGCATTTATGTTATAATCTGACTCGGAATAAGCCACAAAATTCTCAAAGTATATGGATCAATATGGACAAGGTTTCTCTATTAATCTATTCCCTAGTTTAAGCGTCCGTTTTTCCTCAAATTTTCTCGTTCTTGCTGAGGTAACTGATATCAGTTGCAGCCCATGACAGATTGCTAAAATTGAATACTTGGTTATTAGCAACAGTAATGGACAGTGATCAACTAAGTTCGTTGGCTACTTTCATGTATCTCCTGAATAAGAAATTAGTTTTCTTGTTCCTGGTTTAGCTTAAAAGTGAGTCTGCTTCTAGTAAATTATGTGATTGGATCGAGGACTTGCAACTCTTTTTGTTAATCTTTAAAAACACTAATCATTCTGATGCCTTAGCAATGTGTTCATTTTTAATGAGCCATGATCAAAGTTCTGCGTCTGTGTAACTTGATTACTCCTTTATAATGCTTATTGCCTTTCAGAATTGGCTCCATTGAAATTAGTCGCCAGATAAAAACTAGTGAACTATCATGTATATTCCACTCTATGTTGCTTCTTTTGCTATGTATAAACAGCAAGCCACCTCCAAGTTGCCACTTCAATAATCAAGACTGAAGGAATTAATTTCACAAATTTTCTGAATATTGTCGCTTTACTTCCGACTATTTGAAATATTGTTGATGCATGGCTACTGAAATTGTTGATTATCACAAAGTAGGCAAAAGTTTGTATTACATTTCAGCTACCAAATTTACGTAATAGAAGATATTTTCAGTCTTTCTGGACAACTAAAATCTAGTTTAGTGATGTTAATCATATGCAACAAATGAGTCAATGACCTCCCAGCTTTTCTGAAGATCTTCTTTTGTCTTGTTTAGCTGTCCCTTCCACATTATTAGGCATGCTGAAGTGTGTTTGTCTCTGTTGGTTTGGGGAGAATGGGTACTTTCCCCCCTCTGAAATGCCAATATAAGTAGAGACCACCACCTTTTAGAAATCTCAGTCCTTAGTTTTCTAGCTTGAAGTGGTAGTAAACTCGTCAAGTGCACGAGCCTTGTAATCGTCTATATTTAACGATTTACATTAGATGAGGAGACATTTTCTTATATGGTATTAGCTCCTTTGACATCTGCTTCCGCTTCTGTGTAGAAAACCTCACGGCGCTTCCTTTTTCAGTTGTTGTCTGTCTGGTCACAAGTGATCTACCTGTTAGATGTTTTTTTTTGCTTTTGTCAAAATCCTTGCTCCTTTTTCTTCCTGCTCTTTACTCATGGAAGTGAGTTGGAATTTCATCCTCAAAATACGCAGGGTCCGAGGAAGGGCGCCTTCCCGAGGGGGTGTGATGGCACCTTGGCTGATTTCGTGGCTTAAATCCGTGACCTACAAGTCATACATGAAGACAACTTTGTCATTGCTCGAAGGCTCCCCTTCAGCCTAGTCTATTGAATGACTCCAACAAAAGAGCAGTCGGTGCACTATAAGCTCCCGCTATGCGCGGGGTCGGGGAAGGGCCGGACCACAAGGGTCTAGTGTACGCAGCCTTACCCTGCATTTTTGCAAGAAGCTGTTTCCATGGCTCAAACCCGTGGCCTCCTAGTCACATGTCAGTAACTAGTTACGCCAAGTTAGATAGATTCTTCTACTTCAGTTGCTGGTACCTCAAAGAATTATGTAAATGTTACTGTTAGATATTAACACAATGATGCATGACTTTTTGTTTCTTTTCCTCTCAAAACATACTGGCTTGCCCTTGTGGCTAATATTTTTCCTTTCAACTTTAAAGTATTTTCTTACTACGTATATGGTGCTGGCTGTATCTACCGTATATATAATTTGCATTGGGATTAAGCTTTGGAATTCTACTCAACATTGGTTGATTTTCACTATCATTCAGTATAATGCCAAAAATATACTGAAAACTGATATAGAAAGAAGATGCTCAGTTTTTTGAAGTCTGCAGAATATCTTGTTACCTTCTTAAGTTCTACTTTACTGCAATGGTTTTTACCTTCAAAGTTCTTTTACCTTTTTAGGTACAAAGGAGGGCTATTAATGATCTGGTTTAAAACAGATGATTGTTTTCCCTCTAATCCTCAGTGAAATAATTTAAATCTTTGAAAAAACATATTACAGATGCAGCAGTTATATTAATGGAGACAAAAAACTATTTAATGTAATATAATAGATGTTTTTTACCCCAAAATGTGCACTTTTTTTTTGGGACATGCTTTATATATGCATATTTGCTTGTTTTGTCATTGCTTTTGGCTCAATAAAATGCGACAAATATGCAAAACGAATGTCTAGAATACGATTTAAGGATAAAGCATAACAGAAGAACAATGAATTTGTATTTTTATCAAAGAGCATCAGTAAATTTCTTAATTTATCAGAGAAATTGACAAATCATTTATTGTACAAGGGGATACACCACAGAGAAGAAACCTTATTTTTTTTATAACGTAGCATAGGCGAGAAGGTTGTGCGACAGAACGTTGTGCGAGGGCTGCAAGGTTATCCCAGGTGAGACCCTCTCATCGCAGCATAGGCTTTTGGTGATGGACATTTGTATTAGGATAAGGAGGAAGAAGAGGTCAGTACANTGTGTTTATTGATCTGGAGAAAGCGTATGATAGAGTTCCTAGGGAGGTCTTATGGAGCTGCTTAGAGGATAAAGGGGTCCCGGTTGACTATATTAGGGTGATTAAAGACATGTATGCTGGAGCTAA